CAGTCAAGAAAGCTGCTCAAGATGCGGGAATACAAAGGGAATCCAAACTCGCCAAGCGAATCGCTCTTCTAGTCTTCAGCAACGTATTTTTCTTCGTTGTACCTGTTTTTTCTCTTGGATTATTCTCAATCTTTGACAAAATTTATAACGCTGCCGGCTCTTCAAGAACAAATAACATAGTTAAAAAACTTTTTTCCGACTGTTTTCCATTATTGTGCTTAAGTCTAAATTCCTGCATCAATCCTATTTTGCATGCATTTCGAAATGATAGCTTTCGTGAGGTCTTTAGCAGAAGATTCACTGGATTGTTCGCCAGAATAAGAWYCTTATCGAATCGTGTYTCACCTGGGATTCAAAGAAACYCCACGGAATCGGATTCGAGTCGAGAACCCGAAATTCACCCGAACCGCAGCCAACTTTCCGGGGGAAATAACCCGAACGTCAACCGTGTTAGTAATAAGATAATTTAAGGTTTCGTTTTGGGTTGACTTTATTGCTGTCTCTCTGTCGTATCATTGGATGTTTTTGTATTATAATGAAGTATAAATAATTCGAAGTACTGGACGAATTTTTGACCGTTCAAAAAGTTGTACTTTTAGGCTTTCCGTTCACACGCAACCGTGCTATCTGGACACAAATTTACCTGGAAAATCGAGGTTAAAATTTTGACTTGTACGGATAAGAAATCGAACGTTATCGTGTAAACACCTCTTCCGGATAACTTTTCGTACGGAAAGCCATTTTTGGCGCGACTGCTTTGCTGCGTGGTCGCTTAGCTATAGCTGTATGAAATGAATGTTGTTATCGAGAAAATTCGGGGTTTTTTGCCACGGTCACGGTCCTGTTGGATAATGTTTTCCTGCAAATAGCTTTGAATTATGCTGCTTTCCAAGCGATTAGAAGTAGAAGCATTGGCTCGGTTCTAAATACAAATCAATTCGGTCGACCCACAAGAATTGGCAGAATAGAAAGAAAGGCAAAGAAGTATTGGATAAGACCTGGAAGAACATCTCTTTGGTGGGATATCAATTCAATATCAATTGGAATTTCCTCCCAAATCCTACTTGTGACAGATTTGAATAAATAAATTTCAGTAAACCTGTTATAATTTGTGCGAGTGGGTGGAGGGACGAGGTTACAAGATGAGGCATATCTTGTATTATATTGGTGTTGATGTTTTGCTAAAGTAATATGGCCCAAAAATATTTGTGGCAATTCAGCTTGCATGTTAATAAGATTATGGCAGAGAATAGCTGCTTTTAGTTTGAATATATTCTGGAATGTTAAGATATTTAGGATATTGTACAATGGTGCTGCATGTTCAAGCTGAGTGGCAAAGAAAATACTCCTGATGCATTTATTTTGAGTCGTACATATGTTTGTCAATTTTGTCTTATATGTACTACCCCAAGTGATAGTATACCATAAGATAGATACGGGTATATTATTGAGAAAAATAAACTCCTTAGAGTCTTGAGATTAACGAAATACCTGAGTTTTCTTAGTATTCCAATGCTTTTAGATATCTTACTTTGAATGAATTGAATTTGTTTTGACCATGTTAAGTGTTGGTCAATGGAAATGCCTAAGTATTTAATGTACTCTTTTTGTTCAAAATCTAATAACTTCATATTATGTGGAATCTTTTTCTTGCTAGATCTAATGATCATGTATTGAGTTTTCTTAACACTGACTGTTAATTTAATTGTTGAGCAAAATTTGAGTATGGATTTAATTTCAGAATTCATGACATTCTCGACAACAGCTGGGTCTCTATGTAAATAGAATATGTTAATGTCGTCAGCAAACATTCCAACTTTGAGACTAGGTGAAACATTGGGTCAATCATTGATGTAAAGTAAGAAGAGCAATGGACCCAAGGTGCTACCTTACGGTACACCGTACCTTATGTTTCTTAAGTCTGATTTGACGTCATCAATTTTGACTTGTTGCATTTTATTAGTAAGGTAACTTCTAAACCATAAATGAGAACTTCCCTTGATGCCATATTTATGCAATTTTCTTAGTAAAATGTCATGATCAACTGTGTCGAATGCCTTACTGAAGTCCAGGAAAAGTCCACACGTCATCTCTTTATCATCAATAGACTTCCGCAGATTATCAGTTAATTCAAGTGTAAACGGCATGTACCGGTCAACTTTTTAAATAGTCTAAAATTTCGTCTGGTACCATGTAAATGCAGCATTATTAGTAAGAGGAAAAATTAACAATGGTATATTTCGTTTGCCGAAATTTAGCTCTACTGCTACAACTACTGCTACTGCTACTGCTATACTGCAGTTCTCCGTAATAACATAAAGTTCAAATATTATAACTCCTAAATCATCATTTGCAACACAGGTCCGTTTATAGACTTTCTTGAACTGAACGAAATTATTGTTAAGATTGAAGTGGTTTCTTGTAACATTTTAAGATAAAATTCAGGGATAAAACTTTACTAAGAAATTAAACATAATATTACACGACGTTTCGACGTTAACTGAACGTCATTATCAAGTGATAAAAAACTGAGAAAACGTTAACTTATATACATGAAGAATAATGAGTATAAAAAGGTGCGAAAACGAAAAACTATGTAATTAAATATTGTACAATAAGATGACGAACAATGAAAGAAAAATAAAAAATAAAAAAACACTAATGGAATACTTTAGCCGGAATAGAGTCACTTTGAATATCTTTGAACGAAATTAACAGGCCATTTGCAATGACAGGTCACGTGACGCTACCCTATTAAGACGCCGAACGAAAGTCACGTGACCCTATCCCCTTAACACGCCGAACAGTCGCGTGTCACTGAAAGAACCTCGATATCAGTAAAAGGAAACAAAACTTCTATTAGATCTGGGTTTTATATTTAATGCCACTTCTATTGTAAGCTGAAACTTCACCTTCTTGCTAATATCGAGGTGTTCTTTTGGCACAGCTGCTTGGCGTTTTAAGGGGTTGGGTCACGTACTTCTGGTGCAAGTCGGTCCATTAACCCACATAACTTCTGGGTGGAGCAAAAGAGGGTTCGTTTGTGACGTTAAAGAACAAAACAATCGGTTTGATCTCTATCCTAAGTGTGTTGTATTGTAAAGCTGACATTTAGCGGTCGTTAACTGCAAGACAAGGTCTTAATTCATCATAAGTGTTCATAAATGTGTATTGAAGCTAAAAGCGTCTCTTTAAGTATGATGCATTGGGCATGTCATGTGTGTGTTTAAGACACCGGCTGTGGCGTACAGTTGAATCATTCCAAGATGTTTCTTCTTCAAAAACTTCGTTTCATCAATATTATCTTCTTTCTCGTTGGACCAAAAGTCTTGGCGGACAACTCCATCGATTCTACGTGTTCTGCGAGTGAGAATGGATTCTGTCGAGGATCGATGACCATCGTACAGTGTCGTGTTAGGAGAATCTGTGAGCTGCATGAATTGATCGCATCAAAGAACCAAGTCATCGCACTGTAAGTCATAGACATCCCTRTCTCTCAGTAACTGTGATTTTACATATTCTGCGAACTCAGACATTCCAACGGCTTGTTTTTTCCTGCCCCAGTCAAGAACATAAAGATACCGACAGATTATTTTTGATTGAAGGCTGCGGAAAACAAATTTCAGCCCGCAGCTTGCATTTACCGAATTCGCAGAATATGGAAAAATGTAGTAATTCTTGTGCTTATGCAGTCGACGAAGAAATTATTAAGATTATATTTTATTTTTTATTAAACATCACTGCCAAGGTTTTTTCTTTTCGAAAAGGATTTAAACTGAGCCCTCTTATTGAACATTGTGTGTCATAGATACTGTACTTTTGCTATACCTGCTAAAAAAAATTAATTTTAAAAATTCATTCAGATGGCATTGCAACTGAAAAAAACTACTTTAATGGTTTTGCACAGCGTACGAAATTAAGCTGTATCCTTTCGAAGCACTCTTACGTTATCAATATTTCTTATTCTACTTTCTTTCCTTAGAGATCTATCCTCTAACAGCCTAAAGAATATCACAGAAGGAGCACTGTCTTTGTTCAGAGGAATAAAATACTTGTAAGTCGAGAACTATTAGTCGAAGTAGGTCAAAATCAACCGGAAAACACACTTGAGTAGAACAGTACCAATTCAAGTTAGTACCAATACTTTTTCCATTTCAGACCTCCTGTCATTTTCTAGATAATAGCACTCTCTGTTGGACTTTGTGCCCACATTAGTAGTATCTTCGGGGGAAAACCTATGTAAAAAAAAATAGTTNTTTTGATTGAAGGCTGCGGAAAACAAATTTCAGCCCGCAGCTTGCATTTACCGAATTCGCAGAATATGGAAAAATGTAGTAATTCTTGTGCTTATCCAGTCGACAAGAAATTATTAAGATTATATTTTATTTTTTATTAAACCTCACTGCCAAGGCTTTTTCTTTTCGAAAAGGATTTAAACGGAGCCCTCTTATTGAACATTGTGTGTCATAGATACTGGACTTTTGCTATACCTGCTAAAAAAAATTAATTTTAAAAATTCATTCAGTTATAATATATCAATGATACCGTGAAGCGCTTAAAAGTGCTTTATAATAAATAATCTAAAGTAAAAATACCTAATTACTGAGTAACATAAACAATTTCAATAATGCTAAAAAAAGACTCTTCATATTTAGAATAAAAAGTCCACAAGAATAAACAACTAGTACGTAAACTAAAAAAGTAGTGTAAAATTTTATGAATAGAATATAGAATATAAATTCCTTTAMAAAACTATCCTCTCGATATTAAAGTGCTACTTGGACGAAAATCGCTCCAAAATTAAAAATCTTTCCTTTGAGCTGAAACTTTGCTGACATAATCTTTGATACATTAATAATCACTCACTGAAATATCTTTTTGATATTCGAAAGAAAAGTGCCGAAATTTTATGGTTGATTTTCGTCCGCCATTAATTTGTTTGTCTCACGGCGAGAGTCATTATGTACAGCGGTTTCTCTCTGTGACGTCATACATGCAACCCATTCAAGTTAACGTCGCTTTGACCATACATTTCTTGTTCATACCTTTCCAAATGGTGGAAAGTCTTTTGG